TGGTCGATGTTTATTTCACTTGTTAAATATTTTGTAAATATTGTTTTCTATTTTATGGTACGATGTGGTTTGTTTGGTTGATATATAAACAGAGTATGTCTGAAATATAATGATTCATAACTCAGAGGCTGAGACTTGTGTTCTGGACTCAACTGGCTGGGCTAGACAGCGAAACAGGGCCAATCGGGACTCTAGGTCGTTCGTACGTGTTTTACGTGTCATTGGATCGGTCTATAAATACGCTGCTATCAAAATCTGCAGTCACGCGTTCACAACACAACACTTCGGGTTGAGTGACTATTTACGAACTCGATAGTTTTGTTTTAATAACTAAACTCGATTCGGGAAAATATATGAAGAACCAAATGAACTCGTAAATTTTATCGTAAATCCACAAAGCTTACATTTTAATCTACCTGTAACGAAGAGTTTCTGCCTTCCAGAAAGATTACGAGATATAAATCAGAAAATTACAGGCTCGTAAGTTAAGATGGTTTGGACGTCAAGTTTCCAGAAAAGAATGTTCACGAGACATCATGTTACATAATTTTGCTTGTCCTTATCCGAGCGCACTTAAAATTATTGGTTGTGAATAATAATATCTGGATGAAAACCTGGTCCTATCAGCAACCCAGAACGGTTTTAGGACAGTTGATTCATGTTTCACAAACTTATCAGTTGCTCCCAAATATTGGAAAGGTTGTTAAAACCCTACAAACCAAGGGCTTCATATATTTATCCAGCATCAACTTCACTAAGGTTCAAACAGAAAAGTCATACACAACAGGTTAGTATCTAAGCGATATTGGGATTGAAAGTAATACATTTGTGTAGACAAATGATTTTAGAGTTGAATGCTAACTAAGAGTTCAGATTCATTTCAAGTTTCAAAGTGCCTTGGAGTGCTCCAGGGTACAGATTTCCGACCATTATCATTTTTCTTGTATACAAGTGAAGTTCTTCGTTGCTGTCATCATTTTTGAGACATCATGACGATACTGATAGATGAACAGTAAAGGTGTAGATAAGGATTTCAAAATTATTTGAACTGCTCAGAATATTTTAACTACCGATAAATATTTCAACCGAATTTGTATACAGTCCTAAAACCGTGCACTGCATTCAAGTTGCCTAAACATCAGCAGCCGTTTGCTAGGGAGCGTTCAAAAAAATTCCAACTAAGTTAACACCTAGGGTCTCAAAGTTGCCATATGACGAGAGAAGGGTTAAAATTAACTCGTTCTCTTGTTCTACAAAAGGACTAGAGATGAAGTGTTACTCAAGAACCATGAACAAGCAACTAGCCCCTGTTCAAAAAAGACAGAGCAAAAAAGACAAGCGTTAGAGAACCGGAACTAAGCTGATTTCCGTAGTGGTGGAGCTCGCATATGATAATCGATTAAACCAAACTAACCTTTTTTTTCCGCTGTCATATTGAAGATTCGGTGTTTTGATCACGAATCTTAAATTACATAGTGATAAATTCACAACTGATATCCCTCACTAATTCTGGTCTTTCAAAGCAGAGGGTTTACGAAGACACAAATGAACTCATTGTTAACTGACTACTGACAGTCTCAGCTAATCATCAATGAGTAAAATTCACTGCCTAAAAGCATGATTGCAGCCAAGTTTTCAAGAGAAAAATGAATCAACTGATGAAGCACCATTGTCAGGACTAGCACGAGTCATCCGACCTCCTGTAGTTTTCAAATGAAACTGAAGTATATAAATTGCCTAATAACATTTTTTCATATAATAAGCCCTCTTTTTTCTTGTCATGCAAAACAAAAATTTACAAGGAGACTCTAAAAATAGTTTATTTGCTTAGGATACATTACTTGTCAACTGACTACCGACATCCCTAATGACTTATCAACCACTGGAACTCCTTGCTTCAAGACTTGGCTATGGCATTCAGATGAAATTTGTATCAACTGAGAGATCCTTATCAACAGGACTATCACAAGTCGTCCGGCCTTCTGCCTCTCGCAGGTTGAGGTTGGAACTGAAATTGCATTGATCAAAGTCATTCGAAAAGTTTTGTGTAGATAAATTTCGTGTCCATTCATACAAAGCTCATTCAGACAAATAGAACGAGGGTGCACGTACATTTCAAATCAAAAGCACTGACTACTTATAAACTCATGTTGCTAGTTTATCAAACAAAAATAAAGGAGTAATGTGAACTGTATAAAAAAGATACTACTTATCCGGTATGAATATCTAAGACGTGGTCATCTCAAGTCATAGGCTAGGAGCCTCCGGTGCTCGGTATGTCTTCGTTTCGGGACGATGAAAAATCCTGAATGGGAGGGCAGCCCTGTATCTACGATCCTGCTGAATAGGGCATCAAGTGTATGTCCTATGGTTTGTCGATTTTTGCGAATCTATATGACGCTTAGTGTGATTAACTAACACCCAAAGATGTCTTCTTGAGGTCATCTGGAGAGAGCCTGTTATGGTTTCGTTTTTTAACCATACTATCTTTGGAGCCGAATACACGATGACATTTAACTCAAAAGAGAAGGTGAGAGGTGGCGAACATGGAAACATTTAATCTGTTTGGCATAACTTTGCCAAGCAGGTGTAATCACCACTGCGTAGCCTCTTGTCCTTCACAATAAATATATAAGTTCTTCAGTAAACATTGGCAGAAACTACTAACAGTCAGGATAGGACGATTCAGTACACTGAGTGATGTGACTTTCGCCTAAAATCTTACGGATTGGGTGGTTACATAGTGGTAAATCTACAATTTCGGGATTTGATCTGTCATTCTAGTAGCAAAGGCGAATCCACATAGCATCAACTTAAACCATAATACTACAGACTCACTGATGGAATCAAGTGCGTCAATCACATTCTTGAGGGTTATCATCCTCTTTCTCTTTTTGGTTACACTCATATCTTTATCTCAGGTGAATTCAGTTTTCGTAAAGTTACGAGAACAATGTAGCTGATAACTTTAGCTAGCCTCTGTTCTTCAGACTCGTTAGAGAATCAGAAATATTCGATAATCTGCGAATAGCGACTCTGTGGAGAACCAGTCAGAGGCCACAGCGCATAAACTGCATCTTCACTAACGAAGAGTTTCGGCCCTGACTCTACGTGGAAAAGTGATCACACCGTCACAATCTTCAGTTTTGTTAGCAAAACCGAGCGAAGATATCCTATCAACAACATCTGTTGGAATTTCAGTCAGTTGGGTTAGTCAGCCTTAGAGGACAATCCATTGCAGGTGGACTGAGAAGCCTACCCTCAACTTATTGTGAATGGTCACTGAGATTTCTTGCTGCATTTCATCATTAGTGCTGCAATCTAGTCTGTCCTCAAGAGCCACAAGCAACATACAGTCGTCGAGATTTGCAGTCTTCAAATGCAAAGTCTTTAAATGTACTACAAGGGGGTTTCTAGAGTGTACGGCGCTAATGGTACTGACAACAACGGTAGTATTGTCTCAGAGCTTTCAGCAAACAGTACCCTCAAACACCTTACTAATCACGTATCACGTACATCAACGACAGACTCACGTGCAACCTGATAGGAGTTCTAAAAAGTAAAACGGTGGGTAGGATCGGTGCGTCAGAAACCAGAGGACCTAAACAATGACACTTCTGACTTGGATATAGTTCACTCTGCTATACTAAGGGAGGCGGATTCAGTCTTGGCAACACCGCTTATTGTAATGTTCCTACACTTACTAAGCCATAACTCTGTCTCAGACAACTCCAAGCCAGTGCACATTACATCAGTTTTCCATGGAGGCCGACGGAATAAACCTCTCAATTGGCTGATATCATTTGTTTCGGCATCGTCAGGTCATTGATATGCGATGGTATACGTGACTGCTTGTTACAAACTACTCTTCACTCTAGCAATATGGTTTCAGAAAGTGCCACACTTGCAGGTAGCTCTCAGCTGACTGCGGTGGACAGATCGACAACCATCCTCGTTCGCAAGAGGAATGTTGATGTGATATATCTCAACTACCGAAAAGCTTTTTCAAAGGTCAATCACATATGTTATACCAGTAAATTCAAATAGTTAGTTAGCAAGTCTCCAATAATAAACTGTTTAGAGGCCAATAAATCCCCGAAATAATTAGTTCTGTACATCTTGCACATTGGTGCTGACTTCGCTATTTCTACTAGACACACCCTAGTTGAAGGCACTCGGCCAAGCATTCAAACCACTTTATGAGTAGGCACTACATACTAGAATCCTTGTAACAAATAGTCAGCTCAGATCACACACTTCTCGAAATTTCTTACCTTCGAACTCCTTCATTTTTGACTATGGTTTGACTGATTCGGAATCATGCGTGACAAGTTTTATGCTAACTGCGAAGCTGTCTTTCGACCAAACCTTACGCTGATAACGTTGGGGTGCATTCTTAGAAAATTTGGCAACAGAACGTTCCACTTACCCTTTAACAGTTTTATTCGACGCCATTTATAGTACTGTGACAGTGTTTCCTCCCTCATTTCGAAACTATGGGAAAAAGGGGAACGTATTAAGAGGCAAGTCACATCATAATTTCGAGGAATTGTATTAGAACTTAAGAGGATCTGAAACCACTGGACCCATTAGAGTATGGATATATCGGCGGTGATATAATAACTCATCACGTTGTAAACATACTTGGTCATCCCTTTATACTTACTTAGGCTTGTTTACAACCCGAAATTCAGGACTATACTCAGAAATAATGAGCGCAACATAGCAGAATGGACTCTAAGCCAATCCTGTACTCTTTATGACTAGTCAGATCCTGAAATCCGCTTAAGCGGAATTCCTGACAATGTAGTCCGGATAATTTCTTCGGAGTCCTTCAAGCTCAAACGTGAAATGCTATGAAGGACCCAGGACAGAATTTTACCATATTCTACTGATATTTATATTTTGCCTGTTAAATTTGGACGTTAAATGTAAACGTTAAATATATATAACTACTTGTCCATTTGGGTCAAATAAACCGCGCTCTTGATGGTTAATTCGCCACGGTTAGGCTCATGATGAATATTTCTGAAAGAGCAGACAATGGTAGGAGAACTTTGGAAGATCATAGTCCCATCAACAGTGAGTGTCCATTTTATATCAATCAGTTTACACTCAATCGTAGCATCACAAATACCCAAAAGGGATAACATTCGCTAATGAACAAACTTCTTTAACTGGGTTCACTTACACTACTAAAGCACCCCAATTAGCAAAAACCTTTCGCTAAGCACAAAAAATGTGGATAATCGCACGACATAGGTTTGTCACAGTTTGAATAGAGTATGCTTCTTCAGGCTCTAAATAGTGCAAGTTAGGCCTTTTTATATGTTGGTTCTCAACGTCATGGACCATATAGTCTCCGGTCCTTAAATTAGCCCGTAAGGTAACAATAAAGCCGTACGGCGTAGCAAATCAATTTAGTGTTTTCCTCTTGCTAAGTTAATACGCCTGATCGTCTTCTGGAATCAATAATAGGCGAGACTATAATATATGGACTACCTTTAAGCGACGCTAAAGTCACCTTGAGAACGGATACCTACTAATTAAGATAAAATAGGAGCTATAGACCAGTTAGAATTATGATTTACGGTTGATGGTTAAGGTTAAAAATTAGATTTAGCGTTTTCGTCACGAAATGACATCAGCTATAATGCCAAATCTCTATTTAACCAAATGGATGAATAAATCTCGCGCTATAATTTATTACTCGATATCTTATATCTAGTTGGTTCGTTCATAAATTATAGTCTCGCCGACTGATGGAAGTCAAGATAATTATACTTCCTTAAAATAGTGTTCTAATGTAGGAAACTAAGTGGTTTCGTCTAGTCAGTTACATAGTTACATTTATAGTTAACCCAGTCACAAATCTTTGTGTACTTCCAAAGTCTTCGTTCCGTAACTTTTTCTTTTACTTTAAATCTTATTTTCCAGCTCCTTATGATTTTTGGAATCAATAATCCTGCCGACTTTACTTTCATTTTTCGTCGCTCCGCTAGCGTTTTAAGTTACTTATCATTGGTCCTAGGCTCTAATACTTTTGGTTATTCATCCATATCTCAAATTATCGCGACAGATGACTAAATTTAAGAGTTCATTAACGGAGCAACATTAGTGGGAGATCCAAGTTTCTCTTATACTACAGCAGTACCACATCGTCAAGTGATTCTTTACCTTCCACCAGCAGACTATTCAGCTTAACCTCCTCCACATCTTCCTATATCCTTTACAATTTAAAAACCAAATAATTAACTAAAGTCTCGGAATGTATTTACATACATCATCAATACTAATTAGAGTTTGTAATTTTATTGTCCTAAATATCTGTTAACTCGACGTCAACTGACCAGAAAGTCATTTGTTCATGGACCCTCACTTTGCAGGTAGCTTAACTAAATGTTTTGGAGTGGTTTCTTGAAAGTTAGTTTCTTAGCTGGTTACCTTCCATGTTTTTACTTCATGTATAAATAAAAACAATAGGCGATTACTATTTGCTAGCCGGTGAAAAATATTTAGATTCTCGTTATCAACTTGTTATCAACCACTTACATTGGTGCAATCGCACATTTTAAAATAATCGATAGGTCAGTGTTCGTATAACTATGACTTAAGAGCTGTTACTAAATTGAAAATAATGTCTTCGTTGCAATCAAAATGATTCAAGGTGTTTCGTCCATCAACACTTATAGTTTAGCCTGTGTGTACAACTAATGCTAATTACTTTGCTTTAAAGGAAGGTTGGGAGTTTCCAGAATATCACGAAACATTCAGTTGCTTAGTAAATATGATATATTTCGGAAGTTCTATTCTAAAATAAAAAGCACTTGGAACGTCGTTAGCCAATGAGAAATGTTAAGATCACATAATCTACTCCCTATTTGAAGATTAAATGGGTTCTGAATAATTGAGACAAATTACTGACCATAGCTCGAGTAAGTACATGAGATGATGCTTCAAAAGTTATTTTTCTAGGAGTGATGATAAACGATAAGCAATCATTTCCGTTTGTCATTTGTTCTCTTGTTCAATACAAGCCCTTTAGTGTTATGTATGGAATGTATATCGAAGTCTGTTTGTATATTTGTTTCGTAGCTCTCCATCTTGATCAACTTCACTTTTAAGTCAGTTCTTTTTTCTGATCATCCCAGCATTTCCTAGTTCTGCTAGCGTTCGGGCGTCAGAATATTGTCCCTCGCCCAGTCAATCAAGGAAAAGGTACGAGTGTGTTCCAGAACCTATGAAGAAGACTCCAGATTACATCAACAAAAGAATTCGAAACAGAAGTGCCGTTAAGCGGTTTCGTGAAAAATCAAAAACAAAAGCCAAAAGACAGGAAGACGTAAAGGCTCATTTAATTTCATTAACAAAATTTTATGATAATGAATTAGTCCGAATAAAACATTCAAAGCAGGTAACTATTCATAGGTCATTCTTGTTTCCCTTCCTTTTTAATAACCTCTACATCATGCAGGTGCCAACCTAATTTTCCATTATGTGTATATGTACCTGCGTTTACTGTTCGTCATCATTTGTTGACATTATTTTGAAGTTATTTATTATTATTTATTTAAACACAAATATTGATACAAAGGGGCACCGTATACATATGCACCACACAATTACCTTGATTTGTTTATGGGCCGTGATACTGTCGGAGTGGTCAGATCGAAGCAGATGGTTTTATTAATGGACTACTCCGGAGCCTTTGACCTAAAGGTCTGATCCACAAGGCGGTGGAGCAACGTGAGCAGATGCAGTCACATGGTAGCCGGTGACCAACGATTGGTTCAGGATCCTGGAATACACGTGCAGTTCTGGTTTGGAATCAGGGTTTTCCAACTTCCCTAGGTGAATCCTCCATACCTACCAACCTGGTTAAATCGTCGGCATTCGCTTTTCATCCTCTCAATTTCGTAAATAACACCCCACCCACGAGAAGGCAGTGTGACATTATTTTAAAAGATGTGTTTCAATCCCGAAACTTCAGTGGCGAATATTTCCTTGACCAAACTTTTGATATTCACAACTAGTAAATGGAATGAATAACTTATTAAGTTGTGTTGCGCTTGCATCTGCTGGTGCGTTATAACCCTTTGAAAATAACTCAGTTCTTGCATTAGTATGGTGTTTTACATTACTAGATATAGCTTAAAATACAGAAATGCTGATTGTACGTCGGTTTCGTCCCAAATGACTTCAATAAAAAAGCATCAGAGCTTTCAGGTGGCTATTTTCTTAACGCTTTAGCAAACTTTGCTTTATTTCTATCTCAACCATTCCCAAACAATCTGAATAGAACATTAAAGTAGGTCCTCCGACTCTAGCTGAAGTTCAAAAGGCTATAGCTAATCTGAAACGAGGAAGAGCAGCTGGTCGAGATAGATTGGCTCCAGAGGTCTTTAAGTATAGTGGTCCAATTTTAGCGATTAAGTTGGCTGATATTCTAGCTAAAATCTGGGAACTGGACGTTATCCCATCTGACTGGTCGCAATCACTGATTGTCCCAATATATAAGAAGGGGTCAGAATCATACTGCGATAACCGTAGAGGGATTAGTTTGACTGATATAGCATCTAAAATACTAGCCTCAATAATTATCATACGCCTAACAAAGACTCGTGAACTGCAAACACGAGAAAATCAGGCTGGCTTCAGACTTAGTCGTGACTGCATCGACCACATATTCACTATTCGTCAGGTTTTAGAACACAGGCATGCTTATCGGCGTCCTACAATGATCGTTTTTCTTGACGTAAAAGCAGCATTTGACTCTGTAGACCGAGGGGTTCTGTGGCAGTGTCTGTCATTGAAAGACGTACCTCAGAAGTACATAAACCTTGTGAAGACTTTACTCGAACACTACCCGTCAAATCAGAGCTTATGGCGAATTGTCATATGATTTTGCGACCTCAAGTGGTATCCGTCAAAGCTGTCCACTTTCTCCGTCTTTGTCCAACCTCATCATAGACCTGCTGCTGGAAGTAACGTTCTCGTCGACTGAATTTTCAGGCATTGATCTATCAGGAGGTCCACTTATCGACTTAGGATACGCAGATGATATAGTCCTGTTTGGCGAAAACGCTGATAAAATGCAGTCTCGATAGCACTAAGCAACAATGTCGGGATGTTTGGGATGCATTTCTCCTCTTTGAATGCAAATTGTCACTTCAGGACTGGCCTGCATCAACACTTGAACTAAGGATAAGGAGTAAAGTAGTCGAATGCATCGAAAACTTTACTTATCTTAGAAGTCTGAACAGCCCTAATGGGTTGGTATCTGACGAAATCTCGACACGGGTTCAGAGAGCTCGTTTGGTTTTTGCCAACTTACGTCACTTATGGCGAAGGCGAGATATCCGTCTATCAATTAAAGGACGAGTATACGGCACAGCAGTTTGCTCTGTTCTACTTCACGGCTGTGAACCGTAGTCTTCAAGAGCGGAAGGTACTCACAAGTTACTAGTATTTGGTCACAGATGTCTTAGAAATATTGCCAGCATCTGTTGAGAATGATGGTAAATCAGTTGATGAGGTTGTAAGTCTTGACCGATTGATATGGTTGGGTCACATGTTACGTTTGCTTGGACACCGATTGCCACGACGCGCAATGCTGACTAGTGTTGGAGACGATTGGAGGTAAGTGAGGGACGGCCAAACCAAAACGTGGCATCAGTACCTGAAGTCACTAACTTCTAGTCTTAGCCACGTTAGTAGATGCAGACTACTTGGTTGGGGTCCGCGTGACTATCGTAACCAATGTTTAGAGACTCTGGGTGACGTGGCTCAGAATCGCTCACAATGGTGTAGGTGTATACACTCATTGTCTTTCAAACTGTGAGGTTAAAGTTGCTTTATATCTTTTTTCCTACCAACTAATTCTTTCTTCCTGTACTATGTCCTTATATGGAATCTTCATTTTAACTACTATGAATTTGGTGTTCATCGTGTTGTGCTAATGAGGTGTGCCAACTTGGACCGATGCATATATGTACCTGGTCGTACTTTGTAGCTGACTGACCGATTTCTATCTCATTGATCGATGAAATTCGAATTGTAATCATTTGTAATTTACGCAGTGATAATTGTAGTTTTCTTTTCCGTTTTTATTTTAGCAACTTGAACTGCTGTTATATCAACATGCTGCTCATAAAAACATTATTAGTCAACTTAATGAAATTTTAAGTCTTGAAGCCCAAGCCCGATTAAAATTTCAAAGTCAAATTGCTAGTGTTCAGTTGTCTACTTCATCTATAGAGCATTCGGTCGACTAGTTTTAACAAATATTGTATTAGTATTTATGTTCAAAATTTCTGTATATTCCTAGACCAGATTATTTTCATTTTTATTTATTTCAATATATTTTGTCTTGTATATCTAATATTGACATATGTATTTGGAGTTTACAGCTATATGGATAATTTGTTTACGTAGGTGTAAGTTTATGTTATTGGATATGTGTAACAGGAGTTTTTAGCCAGGATAATACCTACTTTCGGATAAAGTATTCACATTATTTTGGTTTTCTTGCGATGTTTCTTAATTCTTTTGGTCAGTCATAAACCACTACTCATGTTTGTCCGTACAACTACGTTCATTATTTATTTCTCAGTGTTTTGAAATTTGACATAATTTGTAGCAGCTTTATGCTGGTGCAATTTATTTAGTATATTCCTGATAATTTTTAAAACTTTATCATCCCAATGCTATGTTCAGAAGAGAAACTGCATTTTCGTCTTGTCTTGTATTAATTCGATAAACAACTGCATAAAATTGTTCTGACTTTTGTGACTTACATGACTTCATCGTATTATTTCTGGTGAATGTACACAGTTGTGTTTTGTAACCAACTAATAATTGTTACATTTTCATATTTTGTTCGTTACCATTTTGAACTTCATATTCACTAGTTGTTTTGTTATTTCATCCGATTGTAGGATTAGCTAAAATTGATGTGCTTTTATCATTTATTACTCACCCTTCAGGAAGTAGTGTTGCACTAGATTTTTGAGGAGAATTAGAGTTATTTTTTCGACCAAATATACCTGACTAATGTATCTCATTACGAAAATTAAATTACCAGGATGAGTAACTCAATTATCAATCTTATTTTTGTGGTTAGGCATTACATCTACTTTAAATAAATTCCGCCTGTAAACAGGTATATGTATGCACCTGGTAATTTTAACTGTTTGTTTTTCAAATTGGTTGCTTTTTTTAACCCAGTTTTTCGTCTCGTTCCTGGTCATTAATTTTGTCCTTCATAATTGTTTCACTGAGATAGAAGCTAGTTATTAGGTAGATGTTCAGTTCAGAGTGAGACACAAGTGGTGTGATGGTATCTTAACCTCATGTTGTTTTGTGCAATAACTGTCAAACATGGCGTATCAAGATGATTTACTGTTTACCGCACAAAATACGGTACATCATCTATTATTGTATCACATGTGAAACTTGATTATCTAATCTTGTTTGTTTCCGCTCCTTTTTTTAAGGGTAGTAAGATTGTGTAAGCGCATTGAGTTGATACCGAATTTTATCTAATGCTAAATACAGATACAATATTCGTTTTCCAACCATTTATGTAATCAAGTTAGGACGTTCAACTATCACTTCCTGTCCTATTTTGAAAGTTCCTTCCTCTTAAGGTTTTCAGACACGCATCATCATTAGCTCAAAAAAGAAGTTCACTAGGTTTAAAAACGAACTTACATGAATTTACAGTATACGCCCCATTTACGGTCACTGGGACAACCACAAAGTTTTCATAATTCTGGCAAATCCATTTAAATCAGAGAGTACAATACAGACAGTTGAAATACCACAGTATTATTGATTATGTGGATTTAAGAAAGAAAATATCCGTTTCGTTTATAATTCCATGTTTGTTAAGACCAATTGTTTTTTTTATTCTAAGAAAAATAAGCAAAGGACGATAAGTTTTCCAGAGGAAAATAGGTTATCTTTTTTAAATATCATTCAAATAACTAAAATATTTTTCTTACTGTTAATAGTTGTTAGGATAGTCGGAAAAATATACCAATAATTATCGTGTTAAGTCTATGGTGGCCTTGGACCTTAAATGTACATTTCCTATTGGTCGGTGTTTATTTCACTTGTTAAATATTTTGTAAATATTGTTTTCTATTTTATGGTACGATGTGGTTTGTTTGGTTAGTATATAAATAGAGTATGTCTGAAATACAGTGATTCATAACTCAGAGGCTGCGTTCTTGACTCAACTGCCTGGGACAGACTGCGAAGCGGGACCAATCAGGGCGCTAGGTCGTCCGTTACGTGTCCACTGTCACAGAAGCGGTCGATATAAACGCTGCTTATTAAAACCTGCAGTCGCACCCGTTACAACAATAGTAACACGATTAATGCTAATAGTACTACTAATTTCACTTCATAGTGTTTATGCATACATACAAATTAGATATTAGCAGAAAGTTATTGAATAGGTTTGTTGTTTGGCTTTTATAGCTTATATTTCCGCTAGTTTATATATATTTCTTATCGTTCTTATAAATATATTATATCTATTTACTTCTCCGACTGTTTACTCATAAACTAAATAATTACACTTTAAATAGATTTCGTTTTTACTGTAGTTAAGATTTTCAGCTTATTTTTGCCAATTATTTGTAACTTAATCGCTTTTATGTTACATATCTACTTTTTTTTCGCTTAGCGGAGCAAATTGTTATAAAAATAAAGTAATCAGAATTATAGGTTTTAACAGTATTTCCTAGTGATGATTAAAGGAAATAGATAAAATAATATTTAAAGCATAAATGTGTATGTACTAACATACGTACCTGCAATTCTGAAGAAGAGAATTGTAGACGATAGAAACTGTGTACTATTACTCTAAAAAGTGTGTTTTAGTTTTAATATAAGTAGAAAATTAGCTGTAACTGAATTGTAATTTATTTTATGTTCGAGTTATGTCTGGTAATGTGCTTTTGTTGTTCGAATTGACCCTTAACTGGCGCTTTTACCACGAGTTCGTCTTGAAATTTCTGTAAAGATGCCTATGAGAATTAGTTAAAGTTATTTCTATTATTTGTAAAGTTAGGGGGCTAAATCTTCCCAGGAGTTCCTATATTTAATTAATTGTAACAGGTTTATACGCGTGCCGAACATGGTGAATTTATTCGGGTAGTATCAGTTATATAGTATAGTTTATCATATTCCGTAGTATTCTTTGATTTGAGGTAACAAATTTCTTGGCACTGAATATGTAGTTTGTTAGATATTAATTTTAATAGTATGACTGGACTGAATGACATGCATTACTCCTATTTCTGATCGTATTAGCACAAAGGATTGTCTGAACTATTCATCACTGATGAAAGAAGTGTTGTAGATTTGTCGGTGGATATTAAGAATAAAAAGAGTTTGAAATATTTAACGACTCACCTGGTAAAGAGGTTAAGTAATATGGAAAAGATATTATTTAGTTGAGTGTGCGACAAGTAGTGTTGCATTTCGACTTACAATATTTTCCTGTAGGGATATACTACTAAGTGAAATTTTTAGTAGTTAGATACAAGTCGTACGAATCTGCAGATTTCTGTAGTCATACGCACAGAGTATCTGTCCTACAATAGGTCTAAGTTATCTTCGATATGTCTTGCGAGGTTAGTGATGAAAGTTCTGGGTTGAAGTATGTTATTTAAGAAACAGTTGTATGGGACCTTTCAGTACTTTTCTTATAGAATTTGAGATTATTATGGACGTTTCCGTAAGACAGTCTTTAATGGCCCTAAATCTGACTATTTAAATTGTATTACAGTGAACGAAAACATAAGTGGGAACAACCAAATATATTTGAACATATTATTACAGAATCTCTTAGTAAAATCTGAGAACCATGCAGCAAATACTTCATTTGCAAAATATCAATCAATTGTCTCAGACTTGTTTCTTCGTCTCCACACGAGTCACTCAGTTCTCGTTCTCTTCTCTTCAATCTTCTTAACCTTCTGACGCCAAGCATTTCATTTTCGATTGATGATACGTACTACTTATATCTGTCGACATCAGTAGCACACACCACAATTTGAATGATTGCTATACAAATTTACATGCTGCCAATCCTCATATTTATTTGTCATCTTGAATCGCGTTAGTGAATAACGGGATTAAAATAAGTCAAATGCGAGAATGAAGTTTGAATATGTATATTTCATACAATCGTTGACCTGAACAGAGAATCAGGGAGACGAAGCGAGGCGAAACGTATCGGAGATGGCATGTGAGCCAACTAAATTTTATCAAGCGTGACTCTATACTTATATTCAGACAAAAATAATTTACAGACATGATGGATAGGGTAAGTAATTAACACAGTCAGGGTTAATAAGCGACAAGGTAAAAACGGCTTGAGAAGAATGGTTAAATTGATCTGTCCAGAGGCTAGAATAACCTATGCGGGCTTGACATAGTACCAGCTCCTACAAATCAATTAATACTTTATATTACTCGTAGTATTATGTATCACTGCTTTCGTCATTTTTATGTTTTATCTAACACTTCCTCTGATGGACAATGACTAGTAATCCTTGACGGATTTTAGACGAGATGAGAAATAATGGCTTCCCTCTTATTTAATTATTCATTTATCAGTTAACACCAACTAATCATCACATAAAACACCAAGTTACGTGATTCCCATCAAGTTACTTTTCAACACAAATTTCACCAAGCCGCCTTAAATTGCTTGAGTTCTAGTCAGGTGTTGCTTGATATTAGGTTTATTGATTGTTACGCTTGGGTAAGACATAAAATTGTATCCAATTTACTTAAAGGTATTCAGAGAAAGTGTATCATCATATCCTAATATAATGTATTCATGTGAGAATTGTTCATCAATACGATAATTTAGTTCAAATGGAAATAAACCCTGATCAGGTTTTTCTCTTTTGGTGGCCTCTTTTCATCAAGTTGCAATGTAACACGTAATCTTGTGCTAACAATCACGAATCTCACTACCTTTCAGTGAGAATAATCCTGTCATTTTTTGGGAAAACTACACTGAATTCCATCGAAAATGTTAATTTAGTCGATGTACAAATGACAAGTCAAATTTTCAGTTTTGTTTTTCTGTCCAAATTGTTTTTTTACTGTTTGTAGTTAATTAATATATCCTGACATTTATTGGATCACCGTTAATATTTGCTTAGTGTCTGTATGTGTGGCTGTAGTGAAAAGTTTGTGACTAGTTCATTCTCTGTATATGAATGTATATACTACAAACCGTTATCTTGTACATGTTCCCTATGACTAATGTCTTAACAAATGGAACTTCGTCACTGTTTGTTTACCGTAATTTCATGTACCTATCTTTCACCACTGTGTCTAGTCATTAAAACATGTATGCGATGAGTGACATATATATATATATATATATATATATATATATATATATATATATATATATATATATATATATATATCCTTTTCTGTCCGCTAACCGCTTACCTACTTTATACACAGGGTGCATACGAATCAATAGTTTGTAGTATAAGCTTATCTAAAATACTTCTAGTCAATTGTAATTTTTTGTCATAATGCCTTGGGAAAGCAAACATGTTTTACGCTACGTAACTAGAACTTCAGTAATTTATAAGACGTGCTTAAATGTTTTTCTATGAAACTATTAATCGTTTTGGAATGAAATAATTCGTGATCAGATTTCCCGGTTTTCCGACTAAATAGTGAATTTGATGGCTAATCGGTAAAAGTCATAAGCATTATTTGATTTGTGGAGATATATTCAATTTTAAGATTATTGGTAGCACCGAATGATATTAGCTTGAGACTTACTAAAAACAACTGAGAACTGAATTTATGGTAAGTCCGATTTGTCTGAACCCTCACGTCACATAAGCAGTTGGTCC